TCAGCCCATCGCAACACGGGTTTATGACTAAACGCTCATGTTTCAAATCGCACCTGGAATTTTTTTATCAAATTACCCAGAGAAGAGATGTTGGTCAGTCAGTAATAATTCTTTACTTCGATTTTAGCAAGGCTTTCGACAGTGCCTCACACAAACTTCTTCTAAAACCCTCTTCATTCGGCATACAGAATCCTCTTTTATGTTGGCTCAAATCCTTTTTGGAAGAACGTAGCCAATTCGTTCGCTCTGGATCTTGCTACTCTCAACCTGTGAATGTAACCAGTGGGGTTATACAAGAAATGTGATTGGTCCATTACTCTTTCTCCTTTTTATCAATGACGTGTGCTCCCTCTTTCAGTATGGTAAACCTTTCCTTTTTGCGGATGACCTAAAAGTAGTTTATTCATTCTCTTCCCCCACTAAAGAAAGCTATATTTCAGCCGTAATCCAAGAAGAAATAAACAAGTTATACGAATGGACGGTTTCGTGGAATTCGCCACTTAATTTTGACAAAAGTGGATTTATTCACATTGACCGCTGCTTTAACTTAAATCTAACTACACACAAACATACACTGAAACCCCTCAACACTGTTCGTGACTTGGGTTTAAGATATAGCAACAGTCTGAACTTTTCTGAGCACATTGCATCTCAAGTATCCAAAGCTAGAAAGCTCATCGGATTCATAATAATAAACATCATTAATACCGAATCGACATTATTATCACACAAAAAATGTATCTTACCCATTCTTGAATATGGTATTTTAGTTTACAGTAATTGCAGGCATAATGACCTGATTAAAATTGAAGGTGTTTAAAGAAGGTTCACCAAAGATTTTCTGGGGTATTCCTACGACAAAGACCATCACCAAAGATGTCAACAACTCAAATTAGAACCTCTCTGGATCAGATGTATCAAATTAAACCTTATGTTTATCTATCGGTATCTACCCCTTCATACTCTACGATATCTCACAATCCAGCGATTTCAAGAACCCACACAAACTTACGCCATAGTTTCATTGTTATTCACTACTCAACCATGTGGAACAGACTGCCAGTGAACCTCCGTTGCAGTGAAACTACAACCCGGTTCAGAAGTCTCCTTGATGATTTTCTTTCCGAAAGTGGATTGTATCACCTATTAAATATCAATGTATTTATTAATGATTTATACAAACAAAATCCGTCATCCATTCAATTGACTGAAAAGCAAAGTGCAATCTTCGAAACTTTTAACGTCTATTTTACTTTGTTTTCTTTCTGTTCATCTTAATACATGAAGTCTGCTTATATTCGTATCTAAAATTATTAGTTATTAATATCATTATTGGTCATTCGACACATAAGATATTTTTTCATCTGTTCTTATCCTTCCGAACATATATTATTCCTAAATATCCAAAGTCTAACTAAAAACAAATTATCCCACGGTATACTTAAATAAATTAACTTCTTAGACTCATTTTATCATCACCACACACATGTATATAACACATAGAAATTTATATTTGATTATCTTTTGCAATTAATCGTGACCTTCATAACATCATTCTTAATTATTATTACACAAATGTTTATATTATTATCCGGTTTCCCTCTATATACTATTGCATAAATCTACATGTACTTATTCGAGTGCACTAAAGGGTTTTTTATTTTATTTCATTTTTCTAAATTGTTGGTTTACTTTAGAGGTCGACATTCATTACACAATTACTGTTATCATGGTTGAACCCATTCACTAAGTGTTTATTTATTTATTTTCTCTTTTTTCTATCTAAATAAATATTATTCTTGATATTACGAAGTTTGTAATTAAGACAATAACTTTTATTACACTTAAATTAACTTCTCAGACTCGTTTTATCTTCACTATGACTAAGACATATTGATATCTCGTTATCCTTTTCACTTAATTGAGACTTTCATAGCATCACTCCAAACTATGACTGCACAAACATTTGTTCCACCGTCATATCTTGCTGCAATAACAAGTTTTTTCTTTAATTATTTCCTATTTTATTTTTGTTACTAATTTGACGATGCATACATAGTAGTTCATTCTTGTTTTGTGTTCATGAACACCCCTAATAAAGTATTTGTATATCTTACGTCTCCTTTATTTCTATTCACTTATTTTCTTCCTTTCCTTCTCTAAACTCTATTCAATATTCTTCTCAATTACATAGAACCTGATTTATTATTATTCTATTATTACTACTCTCTTTTTTCAAATATGGCAAATATGATGCTAACATTATTGAAACGTGTGTATTATTGCATTTCTGAAGAAACCCGAAATGGTTTCTTCACAACACTTATGTACACATAAGATAATTGTGAATAATAATAGTAAAACACTACAGACTTAATTTGAAAGACAATTACCACACTGAATTTGAATGTTGTTCACAAAACAATGTCTATTTGTACTGCACATTCAACATCCAGAGCTAGAATTTCGGCTTCTTTTCCATGAAGTTTACTCGGACACATCAGTTACGTCTGAGTTTCCTGAGGAATGACAAAATGAACTCTTTTGGTAATATTTGTGTTACCGTTTAAACACAAGCATCACATACATGGTATACACGATGTCCCTGATCCTAAAATTGCAGATATTTCATTATATGACTGTATAGTCTAATTTATAAGATCCTACGTGGAAGTCGAATTGTCGGACTTTCTCTCCATTTGTATAGCAAACCCAACGTCCGGAACTAGATTTTCATCTTCTTTTCTACGAAGTTTACCGGAACATATCGATGGTTGACAGATATAAACTGAACTACTCCGTGATCTGAAGTCTAGTCAAACATGACCTTATTGTTGGTGGTTCATCAACATGTAACAGTAAACTAGGCAACAAAAAATAAATCTTTAAACAAGATCAAACAACAAAAGCACCGACAACGGAGACTTGTAGTAGTACTGGTCCTAACCTCAAAATCCTCAAAGCTGAACATGGGATGACTGGGAAAATAGGTATTCAACACTTGACACGAAGAGAAGACCAGCAATGATGAACGAGGGAATATACAGTCCTATTGGATGTCGTGGTTCAGCCTCGCAGACGTAATCGTTCTGTATAACCTGTCTTTATTCTTATTATTACATCCTATCTTGAGCCTAAATGAGTTCTTCAGAATTGCAGAGTATCATATTGTTAATTGTTACGATACGATGAGTCAGTGTAGAAAATGATGTGACTTCCAATTAGGATCTTATAAATTAGACTAGGTAGTCACATCATGACATATGTACAATTTTAGGATTAGATCTTTTATTATAATTGTACTAATGAAGAAGTTGACCACTGCTAAGTGAAACAGAATTGATACTTTGAAATTCTCCTAGCACCTTATTTGAAGATAATATTAGGTGCTTGATTTTACTCTCTGACTGGTATATCGTCATTTACCCTGGTCTTATCTGACCTATGTTCATGTTTCTTTGTTTCCTCCGGCGGAACTTTCATTGTTGGACTCTTGTTTATATTTGCGTTTGTGATTTCATTTTGATTTTTGTGGAACACAAAAGCGCCGACAATAATGTTTGTTGGACTGAAGTGAAGGCTACTGAGTGGAGCAGTTGATCACTGTTACTCTGACTGTCTGATGGAAAAGTCCATTGGTTGTCTTAACACATTTATGGGGAAATTTTCATTGCATTTTGTCGGGTATGTATCTAATGGTTCTCAGGCAATTGAAACGTTTACTCATTAGCCAATCTTTGGAGATTCATTCATTACTTTGAACCAGGGTAACATTTGGCTGTACAGTTGATGGTCAGCACTGGTTACATATCTTTTATTTTTAGTGTCATTTATCATCAAGCTAATAAAGTTGAGTAATTTAAGCAGAAAAACGTGTCTTGGTAATCGTTAATTGTGAGTGAGTACCTATGGCCTCGCACACAGCACAGCCTAAAAAAATTTGTTTCATCCAGTCGCTTTTTGGCATTTAGACCAAATAACTGAAGTTTGATCAGTACTCTAGACATAAAGTTACGTACCATCTTATAATACATTGTTTCCACAAATAATATGAGACAAGCAAATCAGACAGCTTGAACTCTTGTATTGCTCGTTGGATACCGATGTTGCATAGCTCACCGTAGTTAAATTAACTGGTGCTGGAAGTCGTAAAATATAGGTCATGAGATAATAAGCAATTCGGAGAGCATAAAAACAAACAGTTGGTCAGACAATAATAAATCTAATATGTGAAACTTGTGAGCTGATATATCTGAGATACGAGAACTACTAGACTGGTGGAAAATAAAGTTATATATATTATATATATAGACAAATTTATCTTATTAACCGCAATATCATAGGCCCAGTAAGTTATCAGTCTACGTCGAATAAAAGTTAAATTGGGCATACAGCCCAAAAAAAGAAAATTCAATGACTTCAAAAGTTAAAGAGATTGGGAATGTCACGAGAGGTGCAAAACAGAAGCATGGGAATATGACCCACTATGGACAGTGACAGAAGGAGAATTATGTATAATAGTTCCCATCTCTATGCCAATGTGATAAGTAGAAGTATTAGAACATGTTATGTATATGGACTAGCTTATTCCAAGAATCTTCAGCAAGTGCTCTAGCGGTCACGAATGAACGGGCATTGAGAACACTTGGGGGCCTTGTGTTTTGGGATTCGAATTAGCCACTCGATAATATGCATATAAACATCATAGTAACGTTTCTTTACGGTGACTGACTGAGTCTCAAAAGCATAATCTTCTAGTATAGTCTTTTTAATATTTGTTTTATGATTTTTACCTGTTCGACGACTTTACAATTTTTCATCATCCTACTCAAAGTATCGGTATCTAGTTTTTCAATAAGAGGTTTCTTACGTGTCACACAAAACCACTTGAAAGTGCAAAGTGTCAATCAGCTCGTTATTAAAAGACAACATGATTTTGTTATAGTACTTCATGTTTAACTCGGTAATTTGCAAGTTATACTGCAGCGGGGTTTTGAACACACGGTAGTGTAACATGTTTGAAACTTTACAGTACCAACTTCTTGTTCCGACTATCAGGTTATACTAATCTCACTCTCGTGTTTCTTTCGATTATTGTCAGTTGCTTGTAGTCATAAATGCAAGTGCACTCCATATGCCAATTGAGTCATCGGCTCACTTCTCCTACTATCCCAGATATCCTCGAGGGATAGTAGCAGTGATCACTGCTACTGACATTCATCTAACACACAAGGTACCTTCGGTCTAGACACAAACCTTCCAAAGGCTGAACGTTATATTAGAGTAGCGAGGTAGTTGGTCTGTTTCTGGTTTCGATGTGAAGGTTGTCTGAATCCGAAGCTTGTGTTCGAACACAAGCACGATCGTGCTAATTGTGTATTTTTTCCTTAATAAATGTAGGTGTTTTATGTTGCTCGGACGTCGATTTACTTTTACTTTTCTCCCTCTCAGCTATCGTCACGTTACTCTACATGCTCCCCAGTACACAAAGTACCTTCCGGCTAGGCGCATATCTCTAAAAGTAGGGCTGGTGTTAGCTTCGTGTCTTAATTGTATCAAATTATTGATTGTGATTGTCGAACTTTCGTTATATTGTGATTTTGTTTTTGTTAGGTGTCAATGGTTTCGGTCGTTAAATGTAAGTGGATTCTATGTTTACTGGGTCGTCAAATCACTTTTTCTTTTGCTCTCTTTTCCAGATTTCGTCACGGACTTCACTTTACACGCTCCCCCTAGAACTCGAAGCATCTTCAATTTCGACACGAAACGCTACTTATTGCGTCAGCTTTAGAAATGACACATCCTTATGGAATCCGATCTATTGCTTTGTTAAATACTTCATATATCGGAAACACATCAAAGCATGTATCAGAAGAGTTCTTGTTTTTAGAATCTAAGTGGGCTCAAGTATTTACAGGACTAGTTGCTTTTACCGCAATTGTCATTACCTGCCACCAAGTTAGTTTGCTTACAGATTTTCACGTGTAGGCGTATAGTTTGGTTTGAAAATTGTTAAAAATTTTAATTGTGCCTGAAATCAAGTATTTTGAATATTTGTAAGTTTGTCTGCACTCATATAATCAAGTGGAGTCTTCTTTGCTTAAGAACTCCAACATCTAATAAATAAATACCACTTATTCGAAACATCAATTTGATCTCATAGAACAGTTGTGTTTAATTTATTATTAACAGCTCGTATTTAAAAATATATACAGATTTATGCAAGTTCAGTAATACAAAGATTTTAATATGGACGCTCGGAACGGCCCTTCAAAATCTAGCCGTTTATAATCTGTCAGTAACTAAGTGATGAACATCCATACTTCATAACAAAACATGCTTAACTGGATATTTTCCGCCTATAAATCCCTTTAGGAGGTGAAATGGTTCTTATACTTCTTCGTTAAAATGGTTATTTCATCTGTGCCTTGTACCGTCCCTCTTATTATTTTATTTGAACGCAAACAGTACAAGGAGGCACCAAATACATATGTGCCACACAATAACAATGACGCCAGTAACAGTTATCATTGATTTGTGTGAGGGCTGTAGTACTGCCCGAACGTCCAGACCTAAGCAGGTGATTTTCTTAGGGGGCCACATCTGGAGCCTATGACATAAGGGTTTGGTCCACAAAGCAGTAGAGCAACGTCAGGAGATGCAGTCCCATGTTAGCTGATGACCAACAATTAGTTAATACGCCACTTATTCCTTCAGGATCCTGGAGCTCATGTGCACCATTGGTTTGTAATCAGGGTTTTACAACTCTCCTAGGTGAATCCTCCATATCCACCAACCCGGTTAGAGCGCCGGACATTCGCTTTTCGTTCTCTCAATTTCGTAAACAACAGTAATGCTGTGGTAAGGCAGCGAGTAGGACTTCCATGGCAATGGTTGTATGCACGTGTTCTAGAGGGACAGCTGACTCGCCACCCTCGGCCTTATCAAGGCTTTCGGGGGCATATGAATCATACCGATCAATTACAAGTAACTAAAAGTATCTGTTTGCAGATAAGACTCTCATTACTGACCTAATTAGAGACTTTCTAAACGTTGTGATATATAATATTCGCCTTACCTTTACAATCACGAATGTTGGTCGAGTTAACCAACACTTTCATTAGATTCTCAATACAAGAGCGACCCTTCTTGACATCCCTTCATTGTTGGTAAGAAGAGCGTCTAGATGTCCAAAACAGGTTAAAAGTTAATGGCTCTTAAAAGCTTGCACATTAGGTAAATGATATTGTTATCAGAAATCTATCTTTTCCAGTGAGTGAGAACGAAGGTTTGTTTTTAACGACGTTTCATTATCTAATACCAATAGCTTTGTCAAAGTAATAATCTGTTACTTTGGTACATTTTTTGTCTTTTCATTGAACAACAAGAAATTATAAGTGGCGAAAAGTTTTATTGATAGAAAATAATCCCGTAGACCACGATAAGCTAAACTCCATGAATTAGAAGACTCGTAAATAATCATCGGGCTGTGGTGAAATGAAGCATTTCCTGACCATGGAGTGTTTTCCGTAGATGCTGTAGTTTGAAATGCAACGATTTGGCACTTAAGTTAATCTATGAGATTCTTGGTGTACTTGTCACTGAAGTTGTCGTTTGTGATAACTGTGGGCGATTGTTTGAACTTTTGGGAATGTTGACTAGCCAGGAATCTCTGCATCCGTTTCGTTTGTATTTGGGGCATTAGGACCTACAATTAAGAAACAATGACTTGAACCTGTTAAAAAACGCCGGATAATGGAATAAACTATTAACGTTAAATGAGTCTGTCTATCGTTTTAGTCTGGTACTAGTGTCTACATTCCTTTAGTGGCTTAGCGGAAAGGTTCCTAGCTTGTTTGGTCTACCTTTTTATTTATTTATTTATTTATTTGAACACATAAATATTGGTACAGGGGGGCACCAAATATATATGCGCCACACAAAACAATGATAATTTGAAGAGAAGGAGAAAAGAGAAAAAAAAGTAATGGACGTGGGGAATTATAAAAAAAAGGAAGAGAGAGAGAACAATGGTGGGGGAAACGGAAAGGTACAATCAGAAGAGATCTTTCAGTTAAGGAAGATACAACCACTTTTTATGAAGAAAGTAAAAGAAGGTTACAGCACGATCGCCACTGGCTTCTATTCTGAGCCATATCTGATAACGTCTCTAGCCACTGCGTTACACCGTCTCTCGGACCCCAACCAGGGAGTCGTGAAGGACCAACAGAAGCTAGCCCTTTGCAGCTTTCTTTCATACCACGACACCATGTCATACACTGACCACCTCTCCGCTTTTTCCAACCAGTCCCAGAGTCGGCAAATAATGCACGACGTGGAATTCTCTGGGACGACATTCGTAAAACATGTCCAAGCCACCGAAGTCGGTGTTTCAAGATGGTGACACCAATTGGATGGTCGTCTCTGTGCACGAACACACGATGCCGAACCTCTGCATTACTAACATGGTGTTGCCACTGGATGTCAGCAATCCTTCGGAGACAGCGATGATTAAACACAGAGAGTCGTCTAACATCCTCAACTCGGAGAGGCCAGGTTTCACAAGCATAGAGCAAAACTACTCTCACCGACGCATTGTAGATCCGAACTTTCACAGCCAGACTAACGTCACGAAGGCGCCAAAGATGGCCCACATTGGCATAAGCCACTCTGGCTTTCACTATACGTGCATTGATCTCATCACTCAAGTCACCACCAGCACTTATGCAGCTACCCAGATGCACGAACTTCTCGACGAGTTCTATCTGCTCACCATCCAGACTGAGTACAGGATTAGAATCCTGCCAGTCTTGTAGAAGTACTTTGCACTTCGAAGGTGCGAAGCACATACCATACCTACGGACATTGATTGCCAACTGATTAAGTGCGGATTGCATGGCTTGAACATTCTCGCACAGTAAGACAATATCATCCGCATACTCAAGGTCGAGAAGTCTTTCTCCAGGCAACAGATCCACACCACCATTACTTACATCCATCAGAGCTGTTTCCAGAATGTCATCGATGGCAAAGTCGAAGAGGAATGGTGAGATTGGGCAACCCTGCCTAACTCCACTGCTTGAATGGAATAGTGGAGAAAGGTGGTTGTATGCCCTCACTCTGCCTGAGGTGTTTGTATATAGGGCCTTAAAGAAGTTAATAGACTTCTCAGGCACACCCTTCTTCAATAGACAATCCCAGAGAACAGTTCTGTTCAACAAATCGAAGGCAGCCCTGATGTCAAGAAACACTACGATTGTTGGCCTTTGATAAGTATGACGGTGTTCTAACATTTGGCGGAGGGTGAAGATATAATCAATACATCCTCGACCAGGACGAAAACCAGCCTGCTCCTCGCGAGTCAATCCTTCTCGGGTTTTGAACAACCTACGAAGTATGACGGAAGTCAATAGCTTGGACGCAATCGGAATTAGACTTATCCCCCGATAGTTGTTACAGGAACAACGTGAACCCTTTTTAAAGATAGGGACAACTATCGACTCATTCCATGACGTTGGTACACTCTCTAGTTCCCAGACCTTTGTAAACAACGTCGTCAGCTCCTTAGACATAAAGTCACCACCATCTTTAAAAAGAGCCGGAGGTAAGTCGTCTGGGCCCGGTGATTTGTAACGTTTCAAGAGTTGGAGTTCCTTGCGGACTTCCGCCTCATTTGGTGGATCAGTCGTCACCAGCCATGGAGGGCAGGACAGTCTGACCGATGTTGCCGGAGCAGCAGGCAAGTTGAACTGCCCTTCAAAGAATTCTGCCCATCGTCCAAGACGTCGATGGATGTTAGTGATTGGCGTTCCGTCATCCTCGCAGATTGTTTCGCTCACACCAAACTTCTTGCTGCCAGTGGCTCGGATGAGTTGGAAGAGCTTCCGGTAATTACCAGATGCAGCTGCTGCTTCCAACTCACTGGCACGCTCCGACCACCAGGCTTCTCGGTCCTTACGCAAGCTTTGCCCGATTTCATTACGTAACATCCTTCGTCTGTGGTCAAACTCACGGTCACCCGGAGTAGACCGACGGGCTTCAATGAGTTGCAAGGAGCCAGAAGAAACCCAGTGCTTATAAGCGGGACGTTTCGCGAACCCACAACTGACTTTACCCGCCATTTGCATGGCGTCATGCAATTGCAACCAATGCTCATCTATACTTTTCGGTGGAATGGTAGCTAGCCTAGAAGCTAGCTCGGTTCGGTACTTACTAGCAACAGAAGTTGCAGCCAGCTTGCTAACATCAATCCTTTGGTGGCGGTCACTTCGTTGTCCACTGAAAAGTAAGGTAAGATTGGTGCAGACCAGAGCATGATCAGAGTCCAGATAGGTACTCCAAAAGGAGCGGCAGTCTTGTACACAACCACGCCAGCGGTAGCTGATCGCGATGTGATCAATCGGAGTCCAGGCTTGAGATGCAGAGGGAGGACGTCAGGTGGCACATCGGCGATGGCTGTGCCGAAAGTTAGTGCTAGCCAGAAACAGGTTGTGGTCTGTGCATAGTTGCAGTAGACGTTCCCCGTTATCTGTCCTGCGACCAACGAGTCCCCATCGGCCACCTAAACGACTCTCTTCTGTGCCTAGACGCCCGACCTGAGCATTCAAGTCTCCAGCTAGTACTACAATATCTGTCGAACGCACTTTCTGGAGAAGAACAGTTAGCTGATGGTAGAACTCGTCCTTGATTGCGTCCGGGCTGCAATCTGTCGCGGCATAGGCGGAGATGACGAAAAGATATCGTTTCTCACGCCGATTTCTTCTCACTTTGATGGAACTTTCTAATCTAACAGCACATAACCGACTGTTAATGGGGATCCAGTCAACTAGTGCTGCCTCAGCTCTAGCGCTTAGTGCGACACCAACGCCAGCAAGACCAGGCGAAGATGCCACAGGGTCCCCGGATAAACGCACATAAAACAAGCTTTTTGAAGTGAGAGATGGAGAGCGAATTTGTAG